AATTATTTTAACAATGGAGGCCATAATTTTCATTCTCTAACTTTGTTGTAATTAGCTGTGGAACACTAATAACAACAGTATTTTGATATGAATGTCAGTATCTTATTGTGCCTAATTTTTGAGGCTGAAGAGGGGTACTTTGTTCAGGCATGCTGATTATAAATTACTTATTTTAACAACAGAGGCCATAATTTTCATTCTCTAAACTAACTGTTGTAGTTAGCTGTGGAAAACGAAACTTTGTTGAATAGAACTGCTGCTTCTAAATTGAAAGATTTAGAATGGGGGATGATGGGGGAGTTTGTCATGCTCTTTGGTAAACGGCTGAATTGGTTAATTTCATACTCATTCCTGTTTCAAACTAAGATACTCTATCTTTTAGATATTGTATCTTGTAAGGTTTTATTTTAAATTTAATTAAGGATCCTATAGTATCGGCTCTAAGTGTTGGAATAATGCACTTAAAAGTGATTAGACAAGTTCTGTGGATATTTGTTTTGGGATGTTTTTAATTTTTGGAAGTAGAAAACTTATTGCTCAATAGAGAAAGGTTAGCAAATGCCTCTGTGTTTATCTTAGCCCATAGATTTTACAATTGCATCAAACAAAAGGTATGTAGTCAAATTCATGTCTTTGAGGATGCCAGCTGTAGCCTGTAAGCATTAAAAGATTATTAGACCTAGCTAGTGATGCTCTGTGCTGTTGTGGTCTCTGTAATCTTTCTTGTCAAAAACAAGAGCTTTTGTAATAATAAATTACAACTCTGCAAAGCACTACTCATATTTACCAAGTAACTTGCTGATGCTGTGCAGTGAAAATACATAAATGATGTCTGCCTTTTAAAAATGTTACAGCCAAGTGTTTGGAGAGGGGAATGAAAAAGTCTGAGAAACTATTCAAGTTTTAAATGAAAATTGTGTGGGTTTGGCATTTGTTTATTTATTTGTTTTGATATTTGTCTTCAGAGGAATCCTCTCTTTCCATATGTTTGATCTGCTGAAAAACAGTAGTAGCTGCATTTTATTCAAAGAAAACATCTCTACTGTGTCTTAACCATAAACACTTGCATGTATCTGTAAAAGCTATGACACTTTTATTGTGGAACTTTGAGGGAATTTGTGAGTTTGGGTTTTTTATTTAATGAGATTGTTTCACTTATTGCCACAGCCTTTGGAGCAAGCTATCACTGAGTACCTCTGAGATCAGAGAGAACAGATTGTTTAACTCCTGTCTGGTGCTAATATTCAAATGAGAACTCTTAAAAAAATTTTGTTTAGAATAAATTCACCTGCAAGGATGTGTTTAATGGAAAGGAATTTCCAGGGAATGAACAAACATTTTGGATGTTGGATTTTGTTACTTCTTAAAGCTGGTAGAGAGCACACAAATTAAAGTGAACAGTTGAAGAAGAGTACATTTGATTTGGAAGGCAAAATATGTGCTGTCCAAAACTAAAAGGTCATTGTCTCCATACAGAAGGCCCTCAAGAGCAGCGAAAATGCTGTGTGTAAAAAATCTTCGTTATATCATATCTGTGTGTATTTTAAGCTGGCTAAAGCAAAGAGCAGTAAGGCTAGGAGCCTTTCATAGTCTGTGTGAGAGCTGCTCAGTGCATGAAATACTCAGCTGCAAGGTCATGGCCCTGCCAGTCTTGACTTCAGGATGGGTGGTACTCAGGCTAGGATTTAAATTGGGGCATGTTGACATGGGATAGTGAGAAGCATGAAATACTCAGCTGCAAGGTCATGGCCCTGCCAGTCTTGACTTCAGGGGGGGTGGATTTAAAACGGGGCATGTTGACATGGGACAGTGAGATGGGTGAGTGAAGTGGATTGAGGCCAATACTGTGTGGTGTCTTCATTCATAACTTGGACAGTAGGACATAGTGTTCTCTCAACAAGCCTGTGGGCCATGTAAAACTTGGATCTGTAGTTGTTACACCTGTTAGTTCTGCAGCCATTTAGCGGGGAGAAAAGGGTCAGTGTGAACCTTAGTCCAGCAAGGGCAAATACAAACTTTTGTATCAGAGAGGAGTAACGCCATGCACCAGTACCGGCTGTGGGCTGAGCAGCTGGAAATCACTTTACAGGAAAAGCCCTGAGGGTCCTGGTGAGGCTTCAATGGAACATGAAGCAGCAATGCAGCATTGTGGCTAAGAAGCCAAGCAGCATCCTGGGCTGCATTAAGTAGGAAGAGCTTCACAAGGAGGCCTGGATGGTGATCATCTCTACCCAGTCTCAGTGAGAGCAGTCTGAAATGTTGTCCCTTGTGCTGGTCTCCTGAGTGCAAAATTGACCTTGGCATGTTGGAGAGAGTCCAGTGGAGGCTGCCAGGCTGCTCAGGGGCTGGAGGATTTGATGTATGAGGAGGCTGAGAGAGCTGGGATTGTTTAACCTGGGGAAGAGAAGGTTTAGGGTAGATCTTACCAGTGTGTGTAAATACCTAATGTGAGGGGGAAAAAAAAAGCAGAGTGAGGTCCAGTGAAAGGACAAGAGGCAGCTGGCATGAATTGAAATACAAGAAATCCCATTTAATGGAACGGATTTTTACTGTAAGACTGGTGGAACAGAGGAACAGTTTCCGTCCTTAGAGATGTTCAAGACTCACCTTGGCATGGCCCTGAGCAAGCTGATCTGATTAGGCCTTCTTAGAACAGTTACACTGTACTAGTTTGTTTCTAGAGATTGCTTCAAAAATATTTTTCTTTGTAATTCTAAATTCACTAGTATAGTGATTTACTTTTTTATTTGTAAGCGTAAACTAGGAAGCTCAAAGTGTGTTTTGAGTTAATTTCAATTGTTTGTTTATTTTAACAGTTAGACATCTGCTTTGAAAATATTTTAAAATAAAGAGACTCTCCATGACATTCTACTCTCTGTATTTCCCTTACCTGTGCTGCATTTGTTTTACCTGACTCCAGTGTTGAATTATTTCTGAGCACAAATTCTGTAAAGAATTCCCTTGAAGAAGGAGTGGCTTAACATGATGATATTAACTTTCCAGATCTGGAGACTTGTATGTGGAAGAACAATATGTCTTGACTTGAAAGACACATTCTGCAGCAGTCTGCTCATTTACAACTTCAGAATATTTGAAAGAAGATATGGCAGCAGAAAATTTTCAGTAAGTTCCAGTTTTGAGTTTTTTTAATAGAAACTTTTCTGTACAGTTTAGTCTTGTACTCTTGGATGAATACTGCAGTTTTATTTCTAGCATTTTGTATAGAAATATGTGTTAAAAGCTTGTAAAGATAATTTGGTTTTAATAAATTTAAATTTATATTGATAATACCTTGCAGTCAGTGGATTATTCTAATTTCTATTTGCAGTTGTATCAGTTGTAAGGTATCAGACCCATGAAATTTAATTTGGAAACAATCTTACTCTTGATTCTTCATTATCTAGACAAGTGGACCTGGAATTACGTTGTGTTAAAGATTGAATTTGTCTTAACTGAGCTACTATAGGGGTTTTCTTAATTTTTCTTATATTTAGAGGTATATTAAAACCTTATTTTGAAACTGTTGAATTGATTCAAATGAACCTTTTTCTTTCCAGTCTTTTTTATTGGGCGCTTGGATGCTCTCAGCTTTGTTTGATCTTCTCCTTGTAGAAATCACTCAGTATATATTTGGCATCACCATCAACAGCTTGCCTTCTGGTTTGTAAGTAGCTTCTAATGAATTGGTTATTTTAGATATAGTTTCAAGGGATTGTTTTCTGAAGATTTTCTTTTAAAGAAATGTTTCTTCATCTAACACTTCAAATTATTCTAATCCTCTTTTGAACTGAAGTGTAAAGGTTCTTGGCACAACTACTGTAATTTCAAACATTTATTTCTTAGCTATGATTTGTGTTTAATTTATAATTTATCCATACGATGATTAGTTTCCAATCCATTAGTCTCATTTCCTCTGTTAACATGATTGCAACATGGCTTGCAGCACAAAAATTATTGCTGTATTTGTTCAGTCTAAATTGTTTGAATCCATTCAATTTGTAAAAACTAGAATCAGGTTGTGCTGATTTCTGTCTTAAATCAGAAAGGCAACAGAACTGTAAATCATGTGCTTATGTTCCCTTTTAAATGCATATGCATTTTGTATTGGTATTTTGTATGTTTTTCAAAAATTGAGTGCCAGAGCTTGTTACTTACTCCATTTTGTGCTTGCAGCTGAAGTTCTTACAACTGTAAGGTGTTCAGTGGTTCAGTTTTGCATAGGTTATGTTTGAGATTTCTGCACTTAATGAAAGATGTGCATATTACAGTAGGGCCACAGAGCTTGCAACCCATTGTGGTTAAACTTCTGGCAGGTGAGATCACAGAGACTTGAGTTTCCATGTGTGGTACACTCTGAGGTAATAATAAAAGCTCTTGGAGTAAGATTTTTAATATTAAACACTCTATTAGACCTTTTTTTAATTTATGCTTTTCCAGTGCATTTATTGAAAGTATCTGAAGACTGATGTATAAGGGACAAAAAGCATGTGTTTGATATTATAAAAGTATATTTTTTTTTTAGTGTGTGAGTATTCAAAAGAAGTTGAAAGCTTGAGTAGCTACTGCTCCTGTTTGTTACCTAGAGTTTGTTGCTAGGACATAGGCTGCTAATATGTCTGGACAAATTAATATTTTCCTATATGTAAAAAGATACCTTGTGCATATTTATGACACCTTGCTTTTGCACATCATACCCACAAGTAGGTAATGAACAGTTTAAACATTTTACCCTTTGATGGTATTTTTATGACTGCAGAATGGAGTAAGTTACAAAGGAATCTACATCAAAGATGTTTTTAATTAAGTAAAAGATAAATTTTACCTACATATACCTTCTCATGAAGTCATAATGCATTTGATATTGAGAGAATGAATTAATTTTAGAAATGTGGGATATACAGTAGTTTCAGGAGCATTTGATTATGCAAATATAAAAAATTCATATATGCATTGCATCATAATTCTTCAGTGTTGTTTGCTTTATTCTATTAATAGTCACTTTCACATCTGACAATATTCACAGACATTTGAGGTGATAAAAGCATTGGAAAGTTTAACACTGATGCTAGGTTTAGTTCATTTCAGGTGAAACGGCAAAAGATGTTGAACAAATAAAAAGAAGCGCAATTATTATTCTGCTTCCATTGTATTTACAATGCAACATATATATCTGCTATCTTTGGTTATAGAACATCCTTCTGTGTAGCCCAGTGCTAGAATTTGGAAAAAGAATCCCTTGTTTACATTGTCAAAGTCCCCTGACATTTTTTCTCTTTTTATATCATTTCACTGTTCATATTATTGAGTGATCTCATACTTCCAGTTCGAAAACTTTTCCTGCGCATGCTTCGAAGGTAATTGCGATACAGGATTACGCTGATGACTCTTGCCTGGAATTGTTTGGAAACAATGTAGTACAGTATAACATCCAAGCACGTACTGAGATTCATGAGGAAGGTGGTAAAGGCTGCCCAGGGATTGTAACTTGTGTTTTCATCTTGCAGCATCAGGAAGGCAAAGCAGATGTGGAAGGGTACAAAGCAGATGAGTACCTGAGCGATCAGAGTAACTATAATTCTTATGGATCTCTCCTTGGCCTTAGGCTTCAGTTTGGAAGTCTTGCCATGAATAAAATTATAAATAATGACTAGGTAACACCCTATCATGATAAACAAGGGGATCAAAAAGAAAAAAATCAAGCGACAAAAATTCAATGTATTTACTTCCTTTAAATGGATGATATCAAGCATTTTCATGCAGGTAGTGAAATTTGAGGCTTGGTCTGGATCAGATCGTAAAAACACCAATGGGGATGTTGTTGAGAGGGTCATTATCCAGATTCCAGTGCAAGCTAGCACAGCTTTTTTTGTATTTTTTAGTTCTTTGACATGTTTGGGCTGAACAATAGCCATAAATCTGTCTACACTGATAAAAGTCAGCAGCCACAGAGCAATGGCTGGATAAAACACAGTGAAAGCCCCAAGGATCCGGCAGAATGTATCTCCAAAAGGCCACTTTTCTGTCCCATGATAGATTATCCGAAAAGGCAAGGAAAATATAAAAACCAGGTCAAGTAATGCGACATTCATCATATATACAGTTATAGTTGTTCTCTTCTTGGTTGTGCAGCTGAACACCCATAGTGCCGTGGCATTCACCAACAATCCCACTGTGAACACAAAGCTGTAGAAGACCAGTGATGCAATCCTGTATTCTTCTGGGTGGGAATTTTGTGGCGTCATAGTTTAATTAAACTTAGAATAGTTGTTAGACTCCATAAATCCCCTAAAATCAAAAAAATATTGGAAGTTATTCTCAGTCAAATAAAATCTGTCTTTAAAAACAAACAGGAAGATTGTTTTAGGATAGTGTTTAGTGATGAAACTATTGTTTAGCTCTGAAATGTGCTTGTTTTGTTGCTTTTTGTGACTACAAATACATTATCATCCTCTGAGGGAAACATGTATTGTCAGACTTGTGAAAATAGTATTTATAAGCATGTTTTAATAAAATATTTTAATTACTTACAGGGTCTCTTAATATAAGGAATCAAAAAGTCAAGATTGACATTTCAGGTGTGCATCAGTAGCTGATAGTTATGTTGAAATAGCTATATTTGAGCTACGACAGCTACTTTCTAAAGAAAATATTTCTTCAAGCTGTCTCTGTTAAAAAATTCTTGACTAAAACTAGTTATGAATAGAAACAAGTTAGCATGGCATGTAGTGACATTTGGATATGCAAAGAGTACTGACTTTGCCTTTTATCTGTGTAGGACCTACTTAACTCCCAAAAGAGCAGGTGCTTGCTCTTTAAAGACATTTATAAAAACTCTTTGAGTATCTGCCTAGTTTCTAATACAGTGTTTAATCCCAGGGCATCAGAACCACCCACCCAACATATGCATAAAATTATAATAGATTAATAGACTTGCTATTTAAAAAACTAAAAAGCAGGAAAGCTGCACAGTCTCCAGTCAGGCCATAGGGGAACAGTATTTGCCTTGGGGGAAAAGTTGCTGTCTGGTGGCCAGCTGCCCCAGAGCAAAGTTATGTTCCTTCATCCAGCTTCTTGGTCATTGGAGTTGGACATCTGAAATGTCACTGTGCAGGCTGAGGTGATGAGAGCTGAAGGAGAGGATCCCTCTGAAGGAGAGGATCCCTGGTTTTCTCTGGAGCCCATGAGGATGGCAGACCTTACCTGGTGTTTGCATGAGTGCTTTGTTTAACACTCACCCCCAGCACTTTCCTGGCTCTTGGTGTGGTCACAGTTTCATGACTGTATGTGGGAGGGTTCCTCTTGTCTGGCCTTTTACCCAGCCCTGTGGCAGCTTTGTGAAGAGGAGGAGGAACAAGTTAGTTGTTTGTCTGATCTTCCCACTTGTGACAAACAGCCAAGGAAGTTCCACAGTATCTGTTAGGCACCAGAATGGTTCTCAAGAGCAGAAGGGTGCATAGGTCCTGTGTGTTTTATCTCCGGAAGTGAAGAATGCATTGAAAACCAGGTTTATTGTTACTGCCCATCTGGTTAATGCTTTCTCTGTTATGTTACCAAATACTTTCTCAGTGCTACAGGAATGCATAGGGGATTGAACCAGTGTTTATTAATCTGGCATCCTGCTTTGACACTGGCAGATACCAGCTGCTTTGGAGAAGACTACCATGGAGTAACTAACTTAAATATGGCCTGTTAAATCTTTATATAGGTTAGTTTCTGCCTTGAAATATAAAGTTTGGGCTTCTCATTTTCTTACAGTTATCCAGTTTATAGATACATTAAAGTTATGCATAGAAATATTTAACCCTTAACTTCAAGGTCTTTTTTGGCCATACAAATGAAAAAAGTGTGGTTTTGTGCTCAGATGAGGACATTAGAACATGCAACAGAATTTGTTTTGTGTGGGAAAGGCCATATATGTAATACAGAAAGGTTTGAAGGGCATCTGTATAAATGCCTCTCAAATTCCTTATTGCATGAAGAACTCTAAAAATAAGAAAAATAAAATAAATAATGCTAGCAAACCTTATTGAAGGTTAGATGGCATAAGCTAAAAAGTATTGTGCACGTGTGCATAGCAGCATAGTTAAAATATTGTCTGGCACACTGTTCCACTTTCACTACTGTTGCACAAAATTGTCCTGATGTTGCTTAATATACACCTCCCCCCCCTCTTGCACATTGTGAGTTTTTTCTCTTTTCTTCTGTTATTTTTTCTGTCTTTCTAGTGACTGTGTTTGAACAGTGCAGAACTACCAAGCTCAATGTCCTGAGTGATTTGGCAGATGAATTGAGTAGTAATGTATAAGACAAGTAGAATAATTCATCTGAATATTAAGAAACATCATGGATTTTAGTTTCATTTTCGCTCGTCTCCTTCGGACTTAGAGTGACTATATTTATTTCTGGTCAGGTCATGTTTTCAAAATAGCCAGTAGCCTGATTTTGGTAGGAAGAGAGGAAGCTGAATCTGGTGTGATATACTTTTCATGCCTTGTTTGCTAGTTATTTCAGGTTTGTGATAGTTTTGAGATATATAAAAGAACTGACCTGCTGTAACAGAAAGGGTTTGTTGGGTTTTTTTGCCTTTTTTTTTTTTTGCTTGGTTTCTGGAAACTGTTTCCCAACTTTGTGAGTTTAAATGCATGCCAGTTAATTTTTAACAACCTAAAATGTAGCATTTATTTAGGTAAGAAATATGGAGATTTTTTAAAAGCATATGTTACCTATCTGCATTTGTACACAATTTGAGATATTTTGCTTTTTCCTTGGTACTTGTCTGCATGGAGTTCAGGTCAATATTTCCCAGGTCAGCCCAAGCACATCTTTGGGTGCCTCTGGGTGGATGGTTTTGCCCTAATTGCCATTTTTCATAATAGGAACATTTACTTACTGCTATTGGTTAAAGCACTTGCTGAAGAGCCCTTGGAGTCACTGGTTTCTGGAAGACTGGTCTGTATTAATTCTGAATGATTCCTCTCTTGTTTGTCTGTATGTTTTATTAGTCTTCTAATTTTTTAATGATAACTGACATTCTCAATGTGAATTGTGAAGTCTGGCTCTGTGCTCTGTACGAGATCAAGACATTGGCAGCAAAATCACATTATTCCTCTCTTGTTTGTCTGTATGTTTTATCAGTCTTCTAATTTTTTTAATGATAACTGACATTTTGAATGTGAATTGTGAAGGCCAGCTATGTGCCTTGTATGAGAACAAGACGTTGACAGCAAAATTAAATCTTTTCCTCCAGATTCTTAATGTGTGTTAGGTAACAGTGGTTCCATTTAAAGAACCATGTGTGTGTCTCCCTTCCCAATCCCCCTTTTTACTTTGTCTGTCTCTTATCTTTGGTTGCATTTCCCCAAGGAGAACATGGCTTTCAGTGAAGCACAGACACCAAGTAACATAATCTCCTGGTTTTGTTTCATGAAAACAAATATTTTTCTTTTAGTCTGTGTTAGGTAACAGTGGTTCCATTTAAAGAACCATGTGTGTGTCTCCCTTCCCAATCCCCCTTTTTACTTTGTCTGTCCCTTATCTTTGGTTGCATTTCCCCAAGGAGAACATGGCTTTCAGTGAAGCACAGAGACACCAAGTAACATGATCTCCTGGTTTTTGTTTCATGAAAACAAACATTTTTCTTTTAGTGATAAATGTACTTACCAATGTTTTCATTCATTGCATACTTGTAAAATTTTTGTTAAAATTCTAAACAACAGTATTTATGGTACTATGCTTTTACAAATGCAATCATTTTTCTTTAAATGTTCTTTATAGAATGCTGCTGATATTGTGAAAGTGCATTAACAATTAAATATATTTTCATTAGTTCTAGAATTAATGCCCATGTTCTGATTCTGGGCAAAGTCTCTTAGCAACATATATGAATATCCAAGTTACTTTGTTAGCACGGCATAAGGGATCATTACTCACCTTTTGTGCTCTACAAAATTTCTTCAGAGATGCTTCTTTCATGGCCCCAAATCTGTAGAAGGTTTAGACTTCCTCTTTGCTCAGCTTCGCTTAGTTAAAATAGCTCCTCTTCTCAGGCAGGAAACAATGACGTAATCTCACTAGTGTTGAGCTCTTTTATTGGTCATACTTGAAAGTTACTATTTCACATTGGTGTGGTGTCTGTGAGCTGGTATTTCTATTACCTTTCAACAGTCAAACTTTTGTAATATTTCCAGCGTGGTCAGACTGGGCTGTTGTGCTGCATATATTTTCAACTTTTAATGTTTGTGGTATAATGAAAGCATATTTTACGTTAAAGTTTCCATAGAAAGGTATCTGCAAGAATACACATCTTGGTTATGCATAAGTTTCTAATAAGCACAATGTAAATGTATTTTCAGTAGAGCATAGTCTGGTGGAAATCCCCATTTTATTTATATTGCCTTGGATAGTAGTCAGTCTGAAAGTGACAGAGAGTCACTGCATTTGAAATGAGAAGTTTGATTCACTTGAATACACAACCTTTTTATGCCTGTACTTACAACACTTTATTAACACAGCAGCAATATTTCTATTTTTTATTTGCTGTCTAAATGAATAACATGCTTATTTATGAGAAGAGGTTTTAGCCTGTGTTAAAATGGAGTAAAATCTCTCAGCTGTGTCACTGCAACAGACATCTCAGGTGGGATTGGAGTATTCACAAAGGATTATAAGTGAAGAAGACTAACTTCCTATGTTTTCTCTATCAACTTGAGAAAAGCAGTTTGGAGAAGGAGTTCATTCCATGTTCTCTGTAGAGTGCTTGTTGCTTCAGGTCTCTGGCTGCAGTCTTTGGGAGGTGGTAGCAGAGACCTCTGTGTTGAGTAGGGGAGCAGTAATGCTTTGGTCTCCACCTGACATGTAGTCAAGAATTTGCCAGGATGTTCACTTGGTACCAGAAGCAACAAAGTCCTACAGTTCAGAAATTGCCAGAGTCAGATTTGTTTATGAGAATGTCTTTCTTTACTGACTATAAAACTAATGTAGGTAGGTGAGCCTCACTTAGTGCTCAAGATAACTTCTGGGAAAAGAAGCCCCTCTCTACTGGAGTAATGTAATTTATCTCAGCTGAATGGGTTTGTGTTAGTGAGTAGGTGTCTGCATAGGTTAGTGTGATGGTTAAAGTAATTAAAGGGAGGAGCCTGGACATGATTTTTGGTGTGTATAGATTACCTTTAAATATTTAGGGTTTTTTTTCTGTTCAGGTGAACTAATATGAAACTTGGTTTTTTATGATCATTCCAAAGGCCTTTTAAATGCAGTGAGCTGCAAATCTTACCCAGATCACCCTAGAGAAATAGAAATCTATTTAAAAGTGCTTAATATTTTAGGACTAAGAAGTATCTTAAAAGGACTAACCAGTGCTGAAAACTCTTCAGTGGCTCTATCATTAGTAAAGCAACTCCAGAGCATGCTTCAGCAGAACCATGCACTGTTTTCAACTGTTCAGTGAAATTCAGTGCCATATGTATATGTTCTGGAAGAGAAGAACTGTTCTTTTGAACTCTCCTAGGCAAGAGTACTTTATTTTGGGAAAATATACAGAAGTGTGGAGGCACCTTCCAAGCTGAACTGCACTGTAAATGCAGTTTATGTATTTATGTTTATGCAGTTTGTTTATGCCAAAACAGGCAAGTGCCTTCCTTAGCAAAAGAGCAAGTACAAAAGTGATTCTGGGTTTAATGGGAAGTGGGCAAATGTTGAATTTGGGATCAGAGAACCTATATGCTGTGAGTTGTCTCTTGACTTGTTGTCTTCTTGGGGGAGGGTGGAAAGTGTGACCTCTTGTAGCTGTGTCATTTTGTCTGGAGGGTGGCTGATGTTCTGATCCTGCAAGGGAGGTCATGCCTTGTGAGGGCAGCTGGAATCAAATCCCACAGTTTACACAGGTGGCTAACAGCAGCCCAGTTGAGTTTGCTGGCAGGTTAACTATCCATCTGTTTGCTGCAGCTTGTCAGTCTGTGTTCTGCTTTCGCTCAGGCTTTTCACAGCCTTCCTGGTGGAGAAGAGGCAGCCAAACCTCTCTGCTGCTTGTAGGCTGGCAGGCCTTCCCCCAGGCGTGGAGAGGTAGCTCTGTTTGGCAGCAGGAGGCTGAAAAGAGATGTTTTCAGGGTTGCATACTCCTTGTCTAGGTGCTCAGCTGGCTGCAGCTACAGGGTGATAAGCATTTGCAGGTGAACACCCAAGTCAAAAGTTGCACTGCCTGTGGTTTGTGAGAGGCAGTGGGCTGCTCTGCAGTGCCACATTCCCCTGTTACTTTGGTTTCTGCTGTAGGAAGCACCTGGCTCTATTTTTATTTCCTTTGCTGTTTTATCAGCTAGAAATGGGTGTCTTGCATTTGTTTCCCACAGATGGGTGAGTACTTCCTCTGCTCCAGCTTCTACTAAATTAAATGCTCAGTTCCATCTGGGGTCTTTTGCTATTCTGAAGTTCGAGCAGTAGACAAGGTAATTTTTGTTGCATTATGTTGTGCTAAAGCTAGTTTTAAGTAGTTAAAAGCTAAGCCAATGTATTTCCTATCTGAGGATGAGGCAGAGTGCATGTGGTCTGTTACGGTGTCTTCACTAACTTGCAGTAAGCTTCAGAAGAAATGAGTTTGATCTCTTGCAACAGCCCCAAAGTGCAGCACTGAAGAGAAGGCCTTCATGCTGTTGCTTTTGCAGAATTAATGTACTGCTGGGTCTTTCAGTGGTTTAGTCATCTTACAGAAAAGTCTGGTTTTCCTGTTCATTTACTGTGTAATGTAAACTTTGTCCAGCTGATACGGAAAAGTTCTGCACACAGTGGGACAGAAGGATTGCCCTCTGCCTCGGTTTGGTAGGGAGCTGGCTTGAGCTCATGGTCTTCTTCTCCTTTCAACCTTTCCACTGATAGAATCTATTGAAAAGAAAGAACTGAAGCTTCTTGCATGGTTCACTGCCCCAGTGATGCAGGAAGCAACTCTCCCATGTCAGTTTGTTAACTTACCGGCTTGCTGTTGTGGGTGAGTTCACATTCACTTTTGGGTTACTGTTTTCAACCTTGATGAGAACTGGCCTCGTTTTTTATTCCCATACTGTGGTCATCATAGTGAATACTGAAGAATAAACTACTGGTTAAAAGTTGGCACTGAATGCATAAAGTTATTGCAGTTGTTTCCAGTTTTGCTGTGTGTGTTGCTCAGAGGCTGCGTCATGGCATAGCTGTCCCTCCTCTCCCACTTGTCTGTGTGGGGGGGTATAAATGCAGTGTGCAGCAGAGCTGAAGGAATGTAAAAGGGAGCAGCTTAAGAGAACTGCAGCCTAGTTAGCTGTACCTGACATGCCTTATTTACTGTCACATTTTGCTTTCTGTTCCCTGTTTTACTAGTACATGGTATGGTATGAGGAAGGAGATGTTTTTTCCCTTAAAAAAAAAGCAACATTCCATGTTTCTCCTGTGTTCATTTCAGTTTTTTCCTACCCCTCTTCCCTTCCCTTCATCCCCCTGCACCAACTCTCCTACAGCCAGGACATACCCTGTGTCCTAAATAGCCAAAAAATATACAGTGCATCTGGCCTGTAGTTCATCTGTTTATCACTGTCAGTCAGCCTTTGAAAGAAACAATACTTCAAAAATTAATTAAAATGAAATTTGAATCTCTGAGGTGTCTCTGACAGTGGGGTAATGGGCTGGAGACAGTGGTCTTTACACACCAGAAATCTCAGAGTGTCCATAATCTAATATTAGCTCATGGCAAATACCAACATAGCTCCATGCTTGTTGATGACCCTATGTTGCCTTTGACAAATTCCTGTGTTCTGTTTTTTGGGAAGCAGCTTTCCTAATTCAAAAAGTGCACAATTCTCATGACAGATATTTAACAGTTTTTTAAAAGCAGTGTGAATGCTCAACTTTTTTATTTTCTTTTTTGAAACCTCCATTGTCAGGAACTAGTTGGTTCCAGTTTGGAAGTGTCTGGGAGAGAGGTTTTATTTCCAATACTCTTTCCTTACTAAGTAGGTTGTATGTGGTGTTTTTACTAGTAAACTGCTCTTAAAGGTCTCAGGTGCATAAGAAGTATTGTTCTGAAACTTGATATGCCTCCCAGGAACAGAGTTAGTGTTTCAAAAGAAATGTCTTATTTGGAGCTGCATGTACTCAGATTCCTTTGATGAAGTCAAGTGCAGGAGTAGGGAGAGTTCTTCTGACTCCTCCAGAGTTCAGGAGTTTGGACAAGCTCTGTCAGTAACTAGCCCAAGTATATGTTATCAGAAATTAAACAATTGAAAATTGTTACGTAGGCTTTAGCAGACCAGTGAAGGGTTTAATCAAAAGTACCTGAAGTGAGAATGGGCTGTGTGAATTAGAATAAGCACTTCAAGGGTGCCTTACAGTGTGTTGCCCAGCCCTGGCAGGTAGCTTGCTTTGCAGAAGCAACGATCTAATGCTGTTCTGCCTGCCCCACCTGTCCCTGGCACAGGTGAACAAGCAGCAGTGTGTTGGGGTTGTGAAGCTTGGGGTGCTGTGGTGCAGTTGAGGTGACACGAGAGGAGCATCAGGATGATAAAGGGGCTGACATAATCCAGACTGGGACAAAGCAGCTGCACAGCAGTGAATCTGGTTGGTTAGGAGCTCTGCTGGGCAGGTTTGCTTGGTGTGTAGGCTCAGCATTGTCCTGGGAGGGAAATGAAAGAGCTGCTGAGTGTGAGTGTGCTCAGTGCACCAGAGCACCAGGACAAGGCCAGCTTGTGCTCTGAGCTGGCTGTGGTGGACAGCAGAGCTGGCTGCAGGCAGGTGATTTCAGAGTCACTGTCTTTTCAGGTATGGAGCTACGTCCAGTCAGAGAACTCTGTATTTCCCAACTAACTGTTCAACTACAAAAATTATATCTGTTTTACACACACACATTAAAGGGATGAAAGGGATGGAGCTGAAAATTCTGAGCTTTATCATGACAAGAGGCCTAGGAGAGTAAGTCAGGGCATAAATCTGAAGTTCAATCATTTAAGCAGCTCTTTT